GATCAGATCCAGAACCCACAACCATGGACTCAATTGGATAACAGGTTATTTAGGTTCTTCTTAAAGAACGCTGAAGAGTCTTTGATTCCAATCTCCGGGGAAATTTGAAATCGGCCGTTTGAGCTCTTGCGCAAGAAGATAAATTGTGCATTGACTCAACAGTGGTTCATGGCTAAAACGGGCTTATAGAAAAAAGCCATTTTTTCTGGGAAGGCTAAAGATGGACCATAGAATGCCGTTGATGTTTCGGCAAAAAAGGTCGTTGCAATTGTTTTTTATGGCTGCGCATTTTAGGACTTAAACGCTCAAGAGAAGTGGCAGAAGTTGATGTGAAGTTATTTTCGGAGCCATTGCAAGTAGGGATGAATTACTGCTCTGCTCAAGCATATGCAGGTTACCCAACAACAAAATTTCTCTTTGTTTTCATTGTGCTTAAGAGCAATTGAGGAACAATGAGTAAAATTGCAACTCTTTCATTCCGTGGACCAGAAATTCTGCTTGAAGACAGGTTTTCATACATCTGAAATCATTTTTGCTAAACGTGCCAACTTCTAAGCATTTGATATTGAGGGAAAAGGAGTATGTTAAAGGTCGCTGAAAGATTTGTCGAATAACATTTATTTGAGCATTTTCACAGGGCAAAGGATTTTCTAACTCCAAGGTCCCACTTCCAAGGACTTAATATTACTGCTAAGAAGAGTTAGAGTTCTCTGAAGAGTCAACATTACAAAAATATTATGTTGGGGGTTTAGCGTCAGGGAAATCGCCAAGTTTGCCGTGACAAAGAAAGGGAGATTGTCCTTGTGAGATACTTCAGCCCAGAGAAGTTGTTATTGCTTTTTTAAGCATACTTTAGACTGGGTTTTTTCTTAAAGTGATGGGAGTTGTTAACCCAGGAAACCAAAGAAAGCCTGAACAATCACTTTAAACCTAAAATAAACGGCAATGATCGTTACTCGCGAGGCTTACCCAGTGAGTAGTGTATAGTTCGAAACATCAGTGAGTGTTTCTGTACCCGTCTAATCTCTCGAAGTCCCCTCATCCATCACTCGCCTAAGCTACCTCCGCCGCGACGGCGGCGATTGGTGGGCGACGTCCACTGGCCGCGCCCCTTGAGCTGGCCATCTCGTGCTCGAGAGTCCAGAACCCCTTCGCTCCACTATGGAGCCGCTATTATTCGTAGTCCTAAGCGTAGCTGCGATTGTCGAGAAGACACAGGCATAGTGAGTTTTGTTCAGTTGAAATCACGCCCAGTTTGCTTTATTTTAGAAAGGATTAGACCGTGCAAAAAAGTACGTACAAACTCAATGCTCAACTCTCGCACTTATGCAATTTGCATTGTATGAACTTAGAATGACCTTGTAGGGACTAGTTCTTCACTGTACAAAGCTCATGTCCTGACAAATAGCCATTATCTATTGTGGTGACGTATTCCCCAATAAATGCTCCACTCAAAAGAGGAAAAGCTTTCAACAAGATTTAAGCCGTCAAGCTGCGGACCTAAGATTTGTTCATTTGCTCTTTTCACGGATAAATGAAAACGTTAAACAACCATAATTAGGATTTTGCTTGCATACAAAGCGGTAACCCTGCTAATTTTAACAAGTCACAGAGAAATTTATACATTTTTTGCATGAAATTTACCTTCTTCTTTGCTCACAAACTTTCTGTGATGAAAAGCTGCTGAATCCTTTTACAAAACGCCCTCTTATCTCCTGCAACACCTGATTTATCCTAAAGTTTGGATTTTTGAGTTGAGCATTAGTGAAAACTATACTTCCCGATTATTAAGGCAAATCTTCTCGTGTCTTCTTTCTGGTCTTGTTTTTCAAATCTTGTCCATTACCTCACCGAATAAGGGCAACTTGAAAAGCAACGAGTTGAGGATTTAGGAAAATGTTTCTGTGTTCTAAAACTGAAAAGCACTTTGTGGCAAACCTCGCTCCTTCTCATTTTCTACAATAAGCAAGATGCGAATATAAGACTAAGTTTGATGTATGAAGTCAGCAAAATTTCATAGCAGAACATAGGCGAATGAAAATACGAAATAAAAATAATTTTCAATAAAATTGACTTAGTTGGTTTAGCGCATTTTCTAGTAATAAATCAACTTCTCAAAAACCTCTCCCAATTGTTTTTTGCCTTCAAATGCATGTTTCACTCCCGATGTCTTCATCCATGTTTATTGCGTACAAGTCCTTCTGCTCATATCTTCCATTTCGAAAAAAAAACAACAACCTCAACGCGGCAATTGGCTCGACGCCAAATGGCGAGCGATCCTTTCTCGTGATGTGGATTCTCCTAAATTCCTGGCAGCTCATTAATGCAAGTGCTTGTGCTCGGTCTGAATAGACCTCCGAAAAGCGCTAGGTGCTTGAGCTAGGGGCATATGCGATTTTCGAGGTTTCAAGGATGTCTGAAGAACTTTGTTACTCAAAGAAAAAAAGTTCAGTTACCCAGCTGAGGTTTACCCAAACTTTTTAAATAAAATAAGGAACATTTAAGGTTAGTCATTTTTGTAGCTTGATTTGGCCCAAAAATGCTAAGTCCCCCTTGGCCGGATTATGGCCAAATTAAGACATCCAGAAAGCTTCAAGTTTCCATGTAATTCACCTGAACGTTCAGCTGAGTAGCGTTCGCGCCATCGCCAATTACCCACTCTTGACCATTTCGGAGCGTGTAAGCGAATTATTCGAGTAGTAATTCATGTTGACACATCATAATCATTGTATTGTCATTCAAATTCACGGCCTGGCACCACTTCATCATGTGCGCTCGAAAAGCACTTCGTGTCTAGATTTTGTCTGCAAATGCAGACTCTTAACATTAAAAAAGAAAGACAATTTTGTTAATAGCAGCATAAGAGTTGAAGGGTGGGAGTTGTAGGAAAGAGTCAATTCAGCGCTTTCGCAGAACCCGAAGTCAATTTTTTTCTATGGTTTGCAAAAGTAGGAATTTAAGTTCAATTTGACAATAATTATAGTTTCTTAAGTCTTCCCTTTAATTAGGGATTTAAAATTCAAATAATTTTTTTCAATTTAAACGAAATGGTAGACTTAAGTTGACTAAGAATCGTCTCCAGTCTTACAATGTCACAAGAGAAGGCGCTTGCAGCTGCTTATCGTTCACTTCTCACCCACCAGCTGGATGAATTTTGCATTGCATGCCAAATGTGGCAACATTTTTGTTTCTGAGAAAGGAATTGATTTTTCCGCTTCAGGTAACCCGAAAATCTCGTAAAAAAAAACTTCCTATTATTTCCGCTCTTTGAAAGGCATCTAAACCATGCACCAACGGCGAACGGTGGTATAAGGGGGGTGCGTGGATTTTTCAAGCACAGATAACTTTTTTGGGCTATCTTTCTAGGTTTCGCTATATTTGCGAAGAAGTAGCGGTGCACGCTAATTTACGACTTCGTAATAAGGCGGCTCCTTTAATCTTTATCTAAGGTCAAATGCACGTGCCAGTAGTTAAGGCATGACAACGAGAAGTCCAATCCTTCGCAAAATTCCAGCCTCTTCCACATCCTCACTTGAGGATGCTCGAACCTTTTTTTTAAACCTTTCAAGGAGAAAAGCGAAGAGCACTGCTTTGATGCAATGGCACGAAATTAGCTGCTGCAGCTCGCAATCCTCCGGGGATCAACTCAAAATCGCGCAAAACATTTGTTATGCCCCCAAGGACCCCAAAGCGCTTGTCGCTCGGAACAATCACTTGCGCAATAGCACTAGCGAAGTTCGAGGTTGACTGAGATGGGTTGTACTCTGTTCGCAGGCAGGTGTGGGACATCATCCCCTAATCTGATCAACCTGCGAATGACGCAATTATGATCGGCTGTTGATTTATTCACCGGTAAAGACACTCTATCATGTAAACAAACCTCACTAGGAGAGGTATCGCTTAGTTAGATCTCACCTAGAAAGAGATGGAGGGGGAAGGGGGATGGGGGACGTGGCGGTTTTGAAAGAGTATATTATTCTACTCCTAGACTCCTGTATCCAATCGAGGAGATATACGAGCGCGACTTTTACCTGCAATCAATTGAATTGGAAAGAAATTGAGAACTTCACCACTGATTCATGCTCCTCAATAGCAGAGAACTATGGTTCGGGCCTTGTCACATGTTTTATCAAATGAACTTTGGAGGAATGAGATTTTAAAAACAGATAGACAACCAATAGTTGAAGTATTTCGTAAGGTTTTGCTTTTTGGATAGTAAAAATGCAAATCACTAGAATAAGGAACCCGTCAATACAAATAATGCCTACCTTTAATTGTTAAAAATGAGCATTCAAAAAGACTCTTTCAAAGGCTATTTCCTTTAACCTTGTAGTTTTTTGTCATTAGCATAATGATTTTGGCTTGGTTATAGCGAACATATAAATAATATTACGCGCATAGGACAACCTAAAAAGAGGCAACCAGCTGCTTGAGCAAAGCCGAAGCATCTGCCGTTTAATTTGTTTCTGCGATCAATCGTTTTTTGCTTTCTATCAAGAATATAAAGGGCTATCATGTATCGCATTGTCATTGATTAACTAGAAGTTCAATTCTAAGAATTCGTAGTTTGCTAGAAAATTTCCGAAAAATCAAGATCAAACTGTTCATGAATGAACGCTTTTATAGTTCATAGAGAAAACTGCAATATTCTTGAATTCAACTCTCTCATCTATAATCAATATTTTCAAATTTTCAATCCTTAGATATGATGAAACTATTTCCAAACAATAACATTTTCATATAAACTCTGCATTCAATTGGGTAGCAATCTTTGTTTTCCTTTTGTACGGTTCCGGAAAGGAAAAGAGCATATGATGGTATTGCAATGTTTACAAAGTTCGTACATTCGTATGCAAATTCAGCGACTCTCCTTACAATTTCGTCGTATCCATCGCTGCACAACTCCTTATTTGCACGGAAGAACGAGCAGCGGCACTTGAATTCAACTCGTTTGCCTTAGGAAATGGGACTTTTTTTTCTGAACAAAAAGTCTTTATGCAACACGAATGTATGAACCAAAATTGCTTTGACGCAGTAGAAAAACTACTACAGGTTGTAGTAGATATGGTTCTGGATTCATGTGTGGTGACATGAAGTAACCGATTAGAAAATAGTGGGATATATTATCGTAATTTGCTTGTAAGAGCAATCGTAGCTCAGATGTGGTCACTAGCAAATAACAATAGGCTCATGCTTAACACGAAATGACAGCGATAGCAGCCGGAACTTCAGCGCCAATGTCTATGGTAAAGCTTGAGCAGGAGAATTGTAGCAGCTAGATGACAATGGCTCAATGTTTTAAAACGTTAAATTTATCTGAGCACTGAATTTTTTGCGATCTTACATAATATAGAAATATCTGCAAAGAATGTGCTGAAAAACGCTAAAACAACATCGAGTTTAAAATAAAATAAGACTATGTTTCAAAAAACCTCTTCCTTTGCGCAACCTTTGCTCAGGTTTTGCTGCTTATTGACTTCACTTGCACCTACCCGACGATCAAAAAAATAAACTTCTCCTTTCTTTACTTCTCTAGCGATTATGATGAATAACTTCTGCTTTTTCAGCATTGACTGGAGCGATAGAAAATTCCTCGATGAATCTTCGTACAATCCCGTAGAAGCAAATGGGCACTCGCCCAGGTTAGTTTATTTCTGGAATTGCAAATAAAATATTATGCACCTTTGGTATCTGCGAATCAAAGTTTTGAAATTTTGGAAATGAATAAAATTGAAAGTTCTACAGGCTTGTGCTCAGTCCTTGGAGCGAATGCTCAACCACATGTGGTCCCGGTGTCCAAACGAGAACTGCGGAGTGCATGGCAGCTCATCCCATGGCTGGCATGATTCGTTTACCCTATTCTGAATGTCAATGTATGCCATAAATGCGTCTACCATGGTCTACATATGTCGAAATTTCTAATTTCTTTGTAGCTCAGCCGCAGCCGTCGCTGTTTGAACCTTGCGAAACCCGTCCATGCCCACTTCAAGAAGATCCCAAGACAAACCATGAGGAAACACCATTTCGATGGGAAAACGGGGATTGGGGACCGTGCTCGGCCAGTTGCCTTGGAGGTTGGTACAGTAACAAGCAAGAAGAGGTGCTCGAAAGGAAATTCGTGGTGGTTTTAGGTAAACAAAAAGCGGCACTTCTATGTAGGGAGACTGCAACAGGAAGAGCGGTGCCGTGGTCCCAATGTGACGCAAGAACTCGTCCACCTCAGCTCGTCCGTCAGTGCAATCAACATGCTTGTCCTCCAGTTTGGCAGGTAAGTGCCAGATGGTAATTCAATAGTCATGACAAAATTGTTCCAAAGTTAAGGTTGGAGTCTTTGGACCCTGCTCAGTCACTTGTGGTGGTGGTACTGCCACTCGTTCCGTAAGCTGCATTCGTCCTGTAAGCCGTAGTGGAGGTCAGTTAAAGTCAAGTGCAGGAACATTTTCAGCTACTTCCTACACGCTAGCTCCTTTTTAGCAATAAAGCGTTAGTTGGCTGATAGATTAAAGCGCTAACCAACAGACACGATGTTTAGTTTCTGACAGTATGAGGAAGTGGGTGGGAACGTCCCCGTGTTCAGCATACAAATCACTTTTTTCCGAATTTATATTTGACAATGATTGTAGGAGCAGACGCTCACATCGTTCTTCGCGACGTCGAATGTAATCTGCCCAAACCAAGTGAAACCGAAGCTTGTGGTGTCGTACCGTGTCCTGCGAGTTGGATTGTGAGACCCCCGCTCCATACCTTCCTTTCTTTAAGAGAATAAAAATGAGTACCCCTCAGATCGGGGAGTGGACCGAATGCTCTGCATCATGTGGATCAGGTGAACAAAGGAGATCAGTTATGTGTGAGGGAAGAGATGCAAGAGGTCGAAGGGAACGGCGTGCGGAAAATGAATGCCCTGCTGAAAAACCTCCATCTGTGCAAATGTGTAGTCTAGGTGAGCACCTTAACTACACTATTGGTAGATATTATTTAGAAAATGAGTTTTAGGCTCCTGTGAAAAACCCCAACTTCTTTCGAATCGCGTTTTCGAGCAAAATGCATCCGAGAAAAAGTTAACCCTTGGAATTGGCGGAGTAGCAACTCTTTATCAGGGTATCTTATTGCACCATAGAAAAAAACTCCATGTAGAATTTGATATTTTCAGGCACTAGCATCAAAATAAAATGCCCACGCAAGAACTTCGATAAAAAGAAAATATATTGGACTAAAAATGGAAAGAGGATAAGAAATGATGGCAAGTTTTTTCATTTGTCTTTTAATCCGGCATTATCAATACTTTTGGAGTAGGAAAGATTACTGACTTTCAATAATGCAAAATGCAAACTTGACAAACTAGAAAGTCCAGTATAGCAGCGTTTAGAACTATTTTCTATTAAAATGGTTGACATTTTCAAATCATTGTGTAGAAGGGAGTAGATTCACCTACAGTTGGTCAGATCCAAGCATTGCGAGCTGTTTCAATTTTCTTTTGAAGTCGAAATCGGTTTTCGAGAGAAAAGACAAGAACTTGGTCTTTACATATCTTCTGCAAAACCCATTAAGCCTCTCCATTAAATGTCATCTTCCCTCATACTGCTGCTAAACGACTATCGTATGTCAATCAGAATGATGATGTTCTCATGAAATTCTTCATAACCGAAAAACATCTAATGGCCCAAACTAGCAACATCGCTCTTAAAATCTTAACTCTGCGGCGCAAAAACAAAAACATGAGTCTAAAAAGTCTTAAAGGACGGAATTAGAAGATTTTGAGGGTTTCTCGACATTTCCCTTGGTTTTGAGATACCAGTTTGGCAAGTTTAGAGTTACATTAAAAATTAAGGAAAATAGCGCTATGAGATTAAGTGCACTGTTATGACTCTGTTATGAATAGTTTATTCACTCAATAGGGAGAAATGAAATAAACTGATCTCTGGAAAGTCTGAATTTTGTTCAAGAACAGAAAAATACCAGCGAAGAAATCATTTGTTTTCAAAGCATAAATCATTGAGAAATTTTGAAAAATAGGTCGCTAGCAAGTACTGATGCATCTACTGTAGTTGTGGAAAGTCACCTCTTGGATCATAATCCTTATATGAGTCGCCAACATGCGAATTTGTAATTATATGGGATTTTCACTCGATCATTTCTTTAAAAATTGATCGCAACTAATTCCTCATTCCGCAAAAATAACAACATTTGGATTGTTCTAGTTCACATATGCTGATTCAGTTCACATATGCTCAGGTGACTCCATTCTTTTTTAGCACACATTAAAGTGTCAGCCAATGGAAACCTTCGTCTCTTCCACGCCCGAATGGAGGATGCAGGTTTGTACGAGTGCTACACAGATGCACTCCAAGGAAACGTTACTTTGCGATTCAAATATCGCGATGATGACAAGGTAATTTTGAAATTTTCGCAAGCAGAATCTCAGTCAAAATCTCAAAGAGGAGATGAGGCATCATATGAGGCATCATGGGATACTGAAACCCAGACCGGAATGACGATTACGACATAGAATAAGGGTTTTTTTCTTTCAGCCTCATCCTCCCCGTTTGTCAGATCTAGCAAAAAGCTTGAAGGGAAAAGGCAAGAATGCGTCACTTTTTGAGGTAATTCATTATCGATTTTAGTTATTCACCTGAAAATCCAATTATCGATAACGGTACATTCATTCTTGTCATTACCTCTTTATTCAACACTTGTCTTTCTTAAAAAAAAGGATTTAAGGCAATTCTTTCCGCTGGCAGTTATGCAGAAGTTGCTCGTGAACTGCAAAAGCATCGCGACACTATTCGCGCTCGTTGGGAAATTGGACACTGGACGGATTGTAAGCAGAGCACTTGTGGAGTTGCTGGTTACCAGGTAAGTATAAAATAGGCTACCCAACGTGTAGGCAGAAGTCCGGAAATATGTGTGCAGGCACGAGAAGTGACATGCAGCGTAATGGTAGATGGGACGAGAAAGACTGGTGATGAACGTCTTTGCACTGCTTTAGCTGCAGCTCGTCCTCCGGAAACGCGACCATGCCATCGAGAAGAATGTCCAAAATGGGATGCTAGTGAATGGACCGAGGTATGACGAGAATTCTTTCTGCTGCATTTTGTGAATGAGAAAAAAGACTTTTAGAGTTAAGGCGCGTTTTAGCAGAAACAAGTTACCTGTCCATCATTTAACCTAATGAAACTGATAACATGATTATGAAAGTTGGTTGATCAGATGTATCAAAGAAACATCCTTACATCTACAATGAAAATGGTCAAAGTAGGAAGAATTGCTGCAGACGGCAATATCATCATTTTTTTTCAAGCTGTCACAAACTCTACCTTTAATTTACAAATTGTGAGATTTGCGTGCGCAAATGTGAACATCGTTTCAAATAAGCGATTCGTTTTTTTTTTTGGAGAAAAGGCACGCACCAAGATGTGGAGGCAAGAACAGGAATTATCATTTCTATAATTTAAAAAGTTGAGGAGTTTCAGAAGCAATGAAAAAATCAAAATTACCGCCTTCGGTTTCAGCCCAGAATTAAAAAGACAAGTGTTGCAGTCAAAAGAATATGACATGAAGATAGTGAATACAACTTTGAATAGAAAGAAGTAATTGAGCATCATTTCTAAGTTCTGTATGCTTACCATCTTTATTAGAGGCGAGAGCTTTTGTAGTTTAGTAGTATTCCGTTAGATATAAAATTTAAAATTCCTTTTCATGCTTTAGTGCGCATCGGCACCATGTGTTAGAGAAGGAACCGCTAAACAACGAAGAGATGTTCGGTGCTTAATGCAAAATGGCGAGG